GGCGGCGAACACAAGAGGATTGTCATCGCCTGCGAACTCACGGCTCATATAAAGCCTAATATGCTATGTATTGACGAACCGACCTCTGGTTTGGACAGTAGTGCCGCTCTAGTGGTCAGACATCTCTCTCACATAATTAAGTATTACTTGCTATTCATGTGTTAACCCTATTTGTTGTCTGTCTTTCAGGTGATTAACTGTTTAAAAGTGTTGTCCCGAAGACATGGGATGACTATCATTGCATCCATCCATCAGCCAAACAACGATTTGTTTCACATGTTTGACAACATCTATGTGTTGGCCAAAGGAGGCCATTGTCTCTACGATGGAGTTCCCCTACAATTGAGACAACATCTTATTGACTGCGACTATATACTCACCGAAAATGATGTACCTATTGAGGTGTTATTGAAAATGGCATCAAAAGACAATACAAACAATAGTTCCCAAGAATTGTGTGCAAATAATTGGTTTAATACACAAATCAATCCACAAATGATTGCAAACTTACGCCCTATTAATGGCAACCAAAATATATCAAAAAGGTTTAGTTTTAAAGACTTATATTATCTGCTCTCCAGTTCCTTGATCTACACATTCCGGTGCCAGTGGTTGTCCCTCTTGTTACTGTTCTCAACGTTTCAAATGACAGCACTTATTCTGAAATCGCATTTTCCGGCTAATATGATAGAGCCGGACAGTTGTATGGAACTGGAGTTCGGCGCCGACTGTAACCAAACAGAGGCTGAGATTGAAGAGGCGTCGCTAATCAAGAAAAATATAAAATACAATATATCCATGCTCATGTCCATTGCATTTATAATACTAATTGTAATGTCAGCCACATTTGGTAGCGATTTTAAAATTTTTCACAATCATCAACGAAACGGTAGCCCTGCCTATTATTTCAAGATTTTTAGAACAGACGTATTGTCTAATTAAAATGTTTATTACCGTACTTTAAAATTTGGTCTCTATTTCAATTTTATTAATTAGTTTTTATGGTAACTGCTAAACTACTTGAGTGAATGTTACAGTTACTTAATTTGAGTTCACACTTAGAAAACATTTACTAATGATAAATTTTGTTTCCAGGTTGGTATAGCACAGGTACCTATTTATGGACACGCACAATTGTGGACATGGTATCAATTGTGTTAGCATTGCCATTATTCTGTTGGATTATTAACTTATACAATACGACCCAATATTATATCTACTCATTTGTGCTCAACATTTTGCTCATATTATGCGTGCAAAGTGTATCCCAAATATCAGCTCTACTATTCATGAAGGAACCCAAAGTGGCCATGATGTTTGCCATACTGGTGCAGGCGGTGCTTGTCCTACTCGGCAACAGTCTCTTTCCCGTCAAAGAACTTCATTACGTCCTCCAAGTATTGAGCAGTTTATCATATATTAGATACGCCTTCGAGTGTATCGTTTTACTCATCTATGGGTTCGGCCGGTGCTCTCACAACCAGATGTCCACCGTTTTGTACAGTTTGGATATTGAGGAGAATGTGTTCTGGCACAATTTGCTCAATTTGTGTGCACTCTGTATTACACTCAAATTGACGGCATTTATGTTTATTTGCGTCAAAACGTATCAATTTGAACGAACAAGTGTTAAGCACCAAAATGATCAGTGTATTTCTAAACAATTAAATATTAAGCTTGAAATTATATAATTTTAATATTGTATGTAATGTAATTCTATTTATAATTTAAAATACTAATTATATCAGATTTTATATTTTTAATTTTTAAATGATTCAATTCATAATACAATATAATTATTGTTTATTAATAAATAAAATATTCATGATGTTTTAAAGAAATAATTTTATAAACATAATTAATATTTAAAAGTTATAATAATTTATGATCTTAATAAAGTGGCTAATTAATAGATATATTTATATATAGTTAATAGTTATAGCTAATATTGCCAATACAATTATAGTTTAATTTAAATAATAATTATTTCTAAATCAAAGATTTCTAACTTCATGATATTTAACTGAATTGTTTTACATTGGATTGAATTGAAATGCAAAGACAAACTCAAATAAAGAATTGTTTAAACTATAAATTTATTAATGATAATGATATAATTAATATAACTCTAGAACTGCACTCAAACAAAGTATACTTTAATATCAAAAATTAATTATATAATAATAGACTTTACATTCAAGTCATATGAAAATTTTGAAATACGTCTCATTTACTGCTAAACTCAATACAAAAGCCCTTAAACTTTGCATTCATTGAATTGAATCGCGAAAACTTTGTATTCATTTCCTTTGCCATTGTATACACAATACTTATGAAACACTTGAGAAACCTATGAATTCCAGTTTAATTACTGGTCTATACTGTGATATGTTATGTTAGGGGACAAAATGCTCTGGCAATTGAGTTTAAGTGCTTTTCTATTATTGATATAATAATATTATGATGTTGATTAAAATTGTTGGGTTTATTTTGATCCAGTATTCACTACATCGAAAACTGAATGGTATACAGTGCAGAGTATATGTAATTTAAGTTTTTTATTCATTTACTATACTTATTGATAATTGACGAGGGCAAATACGGATCATTCTCATACCTGTACCGGTATATTTTGAACTTTACCTACCTAAAATATAAGAAAGGGTATTGTGATTATTAACCAATTATTGAATTTGTTTGTGTAAATCAATTAACGCCTATTATTATTAAATGATGTCATGTTATAAGCAAACTGTAGGCGCGAGACAATTCGCAGGGTATATAAGGAATGCCTTAATTGGGTTTTAATTAAGAGTAAAGTTTTTAAACAGTTTTACTTTTCGCCTCAATTAAGCTAATAAGTTAAATACAATTAACTTGTTAATTAATTACTATCTCAACTAAAATACTCATCTTTATTTTACTAAACTGTAAGTTTTTATAAATATTATTATGAATAATAAATTTTAAATTAATGTGAATTTAGTAAGTAAGTATAAAATTAAATTAACATTAAGTTAAGTAAATGTAAAATTCCGTAAATTCTTAAAAATATATGATTTTACTGGAAAACTGCCACAACTTTACATATATTTATAAACATCTTATTCCTAAGCTACTGCCAAATGTTAATTCAATTTTATATTTGTATCAAAATGCTGTATAATTCAGTTTCTAAGAAAAGTATTACTAAACTTTAAATCGTAATAATTATTTTGCTAATTATATTTGACTTTAATTTAACATACACTTAATTAGGTATAATTAATTTAATTTATAATTAATTTATTTTATGATTAGCTCACCGACAATGTCTGAGACAGGTCTATCTCTTGTGCAAATGATGGTGAGCGGAGGGAGTGCCGCCTGTATAGCCGATATGGCCACCTTTCCTCTGGATGTAAGTGTTAACAGTTTAATACACCGGGACAATCGCATAGAGAGCTGTAGTGGCGGTCAAATCAAACGCATTTGCATTGCACTCGAGTTGACATCCATTTCCAAACCATACCTACTGTTCATCGATGAGCCCACCACTGGTCTCGACACATATGCAGCACATGTCGTAAGTCTTTATACAATATAATAATTAAATAATTTTTTCTAAAAAAGAAAAAGAAATAATAGCCTTTATTTAAATAATAGCAACTTTCATGTCTGAAACAACTGTCCCGTAAACACAACATATCAGTCATCGTTAGCATTCATCAGCCAAACAACGATTTGTTTCATATGTTTGACAACATCTATGTGTTGGCCAAAGGAGGCCATTGTCTCTACGATGGAGTTCCCCATCAATTGAAACAACATCTCATTGATTGCGACATAAGTGTCGGCGAAAATGAAGTCCCGATTGAAGTGTTGATTAAATTGAGTTTCAATGGACGAGAGGACAGGGATGTGAAGCGATTGTGCGATAAGAATATGGAATTGACTTTAAATACAGAGAATATGATTGCAATGAAAACTGGGATTAAAAGCAAAGAAAAACCTCTAATAGTAATAGATTTCTGGTATTTATTAATTAGGTTTTTACAACGAAATTATATCAACAATTTTAGGAGTTTATGCAAACAAATGATAATTTTCATTGGAATTAATATATTTATCGTAAAGTGTTTTAATGAAAATATCGGTCAACTCGACGGATGTCTACCGCATTGGACACAATCCCAGAACCAGACATGTATTGAGATTGAAGATCAGAAAGTGATTTTAAACCAAAACCAAACGTATATTTTCTTTTCAATAATGATTACCTTATGGCTTCATATCACAAGTTTTTGCAATAGTTATAGCGCTGATATGAGAATATTTTTGTCCGAATTTAATAATCGTAAGTTTGTTTGATTGCAACTTTTATATAATGTCATTTTAATAATTTTAATATGTATAAATAATAATATTTTTTAAAAATTAAATTTAGGTTGGTATAATTGCATTTGGTATTTCTTTGCCAAATTCCTATCGGATTCACTATTATCATTATTATATTCATTAAGTTTTGTAATCATTTTGCAATATTATACACAAATGCTCATAGATGAGCACCGGTTGTATAAATTCCTATTCACGACATTAATGTCATTTCTGTGCACCCAAGCAATGGCCTCAACAATGGGCATAGTATTAGCTGAGGCTCAAAGTGCTGCACTTTTAACCTCAGTATTTGTTGCAAATATCCTGGTCGCTTACAGTAATTACTTTTTCATGACTAAAGACTTGACACCTATTGTTCAAATGTTGGCTCAATTTGATTATTACATGTATTTTTTCAATTCAATGCTTATATTGATATATGGTTTCAATCGGTGTCCAAACGGTGCCAATAATAAAGTTCTCATTGAATTTGGTTTAGATAATGAGTCAGAAGAGTTATATTATACATATTCTAGATGGATTACTTATTACTATGCTGTGCTTATGTGTTGTGCATTTATTATATTTTGGATCAAAACTTGCAATTTGTCTATTATTTTGCCGACATCTTTATTAAGACATAATAATAATAAGCATTTAATAGATGTTTATAATGTGGTGAACGTAGAGATGAGTCCAGAATATCCAGTCACATCTAATATCAGTCATAATGACCCAAAACATAAACCTTTTATGGCGTGGACTGACCTTTCATACACTGTTAAGAGAAGTATATTTAGTAGAAAAAAGTTTATGATTTTGGATAAAATCAGTGGTAGTGTTGCCAATAATTCACTAAATGCTTTGATGGGACCGTCCGGTGCGGGAAAGACTACTTTATTGAAGTGTTTGAACGGACAGAGTATGAGTGGATTGAGCGACGAGTCGAGGATTTATGTGAGGAACGGGAGGTTTCGGACGTGTTTTATACAACAGAATATATGCGATCATCTGATGGAAGGGCTGACTGTAAGACAGACTCTGGTCTACGCCTCGCGACTGAAGAACTCGCGAATTAGCGCTCATTTGGATCACCAGATGATAGCCTCGGAGTTAATGTCTTCGCTGGTGATCAGCGATACGGCGGACAATAGGGTCGAGACGTGTAGTGGCGGCGAACACAAGAGGATTGTCATCGCCTGCGAACTCACGGCTCATATAAAGCCTAATATGCTATGTATTGACGAACCGACCTCTGGTTTGGACAGTAGTGCCGCTCTAGTGGTCAG